TTTAGCAAGCCATTGGCCTTGAGGAATTGCCCAGGCCCCGTTGTAACAGAACCGGACCCCAACTGCACTAGGGTATTTCCGTTATACTCCCGCTTCCCTGTCCAAACACAGATCCATGGGCACCACCGCTGGCCATACAAGACAGCACCAGACTTGCAGGAAAGACAGGAAATAGACAGTCAGACTTGAAGGAATCCAGGAGATATACTGCTTTATTTTAACATAGATACAAGATATATACACAGGGCAGGGAAATACACACCCAGACAGGAAACACATCAGCAGGCCGTGCCATTAGGGGGAAGGGCTGCAGGAAACATTACATCCCATAATAGTTTTCTCCCAAGCAAGACACACAATAGAACAATGGGATGCACCACATGGCAGTGAACAATGAACAACCCCCACAGCAATACACAAACATTACATCCCATAATAGTTTGCTCCCAAGCAAGACACACAATAGAACAATGGGATGCACCATGTGGCAGTGAACAATGAACAACCCCCACACCAATATTAGAATATTCCACCCTGTACCCCTAACAGGCACAGGGTGACTTACACATAATAGGGATATGGGGAGCTGAGACAGGGGTCTCCACACCTCTCAAAAGGGGGCTGTGTTCCATGGGCCCCGCACCCAAAGTCACACCCATTATGAGGGAGGGTCTGCGTTTGATGAATCTGGAGAGTTTCGGAATTTGGTCTGGCTCTTGTTCCATGGCAGACTGTATGTGAAGGGCAACCTGAAGCATCACTCACAGGAGAACCATGGTTTTCCAAGAGTGGAGTGCGGTGGGGTGGAGGAGATGATGGACCATTTCTTGCTTCAGTGCCCCTTAACCATTTCAATACCGTGCAATTTTTTACACCTTCCTGCCCAGGCCATTTTTCACGTTTCAGCGCTCTCACATTTGAATGACAATTGCGCAGTCATACAACACTGTACCCAAACTAAAATTTTCATCATTTTCTTCACACAACTAGAGCTTTCTTTTGAATTTAATCACCGCTGGGGTTTCTATTTTTTGCTAAATTAACAAAAAAAGGCCAACAAAATGTTGAAAAAAAAAAAATACACGTTTTTCTTTGTTTCCGTTATAAAAATTTACAAATAAATAATTGTTCTTCATAAATTTAGGCCGAGATGTATTCTGCTACATGTCTTTGGTGAAAATAACCCATTAGGATGGTATTATTTAGTTTGTAGGAAAGTTATAGAGTTCACAAACTATGGTATAGATGAATATTGATCAATCCTGAAGTACTGACCCAATCTATTCTTGAGGTCTAAGAATGTCAGAATAGTACAGATGACCCCTTTTTGCAGAGTAGACAGTCCGACGTTACTTCATGAGGCATGGCGAGTTTTTTGAAGTTGTATTTTTTTTGTCCGGAAAATGAAAAAATTAAAAAAATTATTTTCCTATTTTTTTTTTACATACTGTCACCAGTGTAGTACAGCGTCACATATAACTGGCATGGCGGTGAACAGGGACACTGACTGGTGACAGTATGAAAAAAAAAATCTTTTTTTTTATTTTTTTTAACATTTTTTTTTTTTCATATTTTACTATGACCAAAGTAGTACAATGTTACCATAGTAACATTGTACTACTTTGGGGAATGATCAGTATTTTTTTTTTTTTTTTTTTACACAATTTGCTTATAGCAAAGAAATACTTTGCTATAAGCAATTTACCTAATGAAATGGATTCATTCAGCTTTTTTTTTTTTGTGCTTAGCTGTGATTTGGTCACAGCTAATCACATGACATGTGCATGTGATTAGTTGACCATGGGCACTAGATACAATGTATCATGTGAAGGTATACAACTGTCATGTGACCTGTGATTGGTCACAGCAGGTCACATGGTACACAGGACTCGAATCCATGGCCGTTTCCAGGAGTGGAGTGCGGTGGGGGCGCATGTGAGGAGATGATGGACCATTTCTTTCAAGCCGCCAAACGTGCCCCTTAATATAGAAGTCTATAAGTGGATGGGTGGAGCTCTGGGTATCCCTTTCCATTCTCACTTGAGTTACGTGGACTGGTTCATATAGGGATTTCGAAACTCAGTGGAATTTTGATTTTGAGACAAATTTTCTAGTTAGCTTAGTAGTCCATTACTACATGTGGAATGCACGCTGTCAGGTTTCCATTCAGGTTGAGGTTGGGAAGATTCCAGGTCTACAGAAGGACAGGTGGCAGTCAGGGGCCTGGATAAAGGCATGGAGGAATGTTAGGTCCTCATAGCTGCTGTCTGTCTCTGGGTGTGTGGCTTTTCTTTCTGTCCTTTCATGTCCCCTAGATTTTTTTAAAAAAAGGCTGTATGCATGGGTTCAATGTCTAAAGTGGTTCTAAAGGCTCAAGGTATTTTACCTTCATGCATTCTATGAAGGTAAAATATCCCTTCCTTTAGATTGTAAGCTCCATGAGCAGGGCCCTCCTATTCTTTTTGTACTGAAATGTATTGTAATTATACTGTCTCCCTTATATTGTAAAGTGCTCCGTAAACTGTTGGTGCTATATAACTATTGTATAATAATAATAATAATGAAGGTAAAAAAAACCTGTGTGGAGCAGCCTCCCTAATACTCACATAAGCCCCCATATATACTCACATATATTAATATGTGTGTTTATTTGTATATATGTAAATATGTTTTTATTACGCTGTTTGTTTGTAAGTGTCACGACAATCAGAGAGCACACAGAGACAGATTGCACGGAACCCGACGTGCGGGCGTTTATTGGGGAAGTTTTTGGGGCACAGACAATAGTTCTGTTAGTTCACAGATCCACACCAGACACAGTGACACAGTAAAGTTCTCTGGAAGTCAATATGGAACAACGGGGATGGTAATCCACAGGGTTCAGTAGGACAGTGAAGGGGCCGTTTCGGGAGACTGAGTTTCTGGGGGGAATTGGGCTCATTCTTTTGGGCAGCACGGGGTTAGTCCACTTTCTAGATGCAGGGAGCCGGACACCGAGGGTTACATTTCACACCGGCCATACAGGGTCAATCCACAGAGGCAGCTCCAGGCAGCGAAGGGTTAAGTCCAGGCAGATTCACGGAGAGCAAGGGGTTAGGTCCAGGCAGATTCACGAAGAGCAAGGGGTTAAGTCCACTTACTAGGTGCAGGGAGCTGGACACAGAGGGTTACAGTCCACACCGGCAACACAGGGTCAATCCACACAGGCAGCTCCAGGCAGCGAAGAGTTAAATCCAGGCAGGGGATATATCCAGCAAGCAGGCTCACGGGAACAGCAGAAAATTCCTCCACAGTGAAGAGATTCCAGGCAGCATGGACAGTCAGGGCAGCCAGCCAGAGGAGAGAGGAGCTGGTGGATGGTCGTCCTAGAGAAGCTGGCACGCAGCACAGTCTTCTCTCACATATGCAGCCAAGAGAATAGAAGGGGGTTGCCCTGCTCTCTTTTAAGTACAGAGCTGGGCACATTGCTGTTGCCATGGTAACCCGAGACTTCGAGTCGGGTTACCATGGCAACGGGCCCCCCATCCCCCAAGTATCCAGACCCGCCCAGGGAACACGGCCTTTGTCCCTGTCGGGCACGGAGCTCAGGAAGACGTGCACAAGGGGGCAGGGAGGAGGGGTGACAGGAGGGGGCCTGTTTGTGGATTCCCACATCAAGGGGCCAGACTGCAGGCGACAGGGGGGTGAGGGGCTGCTGGGGGCTGCCTGTGTCAGGGACACGGAGGACTAGAAGTCCCAGCATGGACGGGACAGAAGAGTGAGGGGCTGCTGAGGGTGGAGGGTGGCAGGCAGCAAGCCTAGAGGATGGGGGGGGGGAGGGCCAGCTCCATGACAGTAAGAGTTTTAATAAACAACAATTTACACTCTAATGGCAGGTTTATTGTTGTAAGAAGGGTCACAGTCTGCTGATACTGAGAATTTCGGGGGATTTCTCTTCATTCTTGGTGTCTGAATGGAATGTTGGGGAGAGTGTGCAGAGGATGATGGGTAATGAAGATTAAGCATGCAGTTAAGTCAACCTATTGCTTTGCTTTGTGTTGTTTGTAACATACAGGATAATGAAGTTATTGAAGATTTCAGCATTATCTATATGTTTCTTTGCAGTGTTCTCTCCCTCTCTCGCTTTTATTCAATGTATATGTCACGGAGTGCCCGTGCCTCCCCCACCCCCCTTGTGCCTGCTGTCCCCTCTGTGTCACCTCGCCTTCCTTCCCCCCCTTGTCAGGTCTCTCATCCTGCTGCAGTCTTTGAAGACAGGCTGAGGATGGAAGGAAAGTGACCCCTGTGCAGAAATCACACCTCTCCCGGCCATATAGCCGGAAGAGGGGTGACCCCCCGCGAGGGGACTTTGACGGAGTGCCACCGACCTGTCTCCATGCACCCCCCTGGTGGGTGCAGTGCGGGCATTGTCCCTCACTGGGAAGGGTGCTGTGCAGGTCTGAGCTGAGGTCAGACCCCACAGCCAAGACCCCGCTAAGTCCCCATGAGCCTGCTGTTGTCTCTGGAAAGCTGAACCCTGTCTGATGACCGCTTTGTCCCTGGAAAGCTGTGTGAGGTCTGAGCTGAGGTCAGACCCCACAGCCAAGACCCCGCTGAGTCCCCTTGAGCCTGCTGTTGTCCCTGGAAAGCTGAACCCTATCTGCTGACCGCTTTGTCCCTGGAAAGCTGCGTGAGGTCTGAGCTGAGGTCAGACCCCACAGCCAAGACCCCGCTGAGTCCCCGTGAGCCTGCTGTTGTCCCTGGAAAGCTGTGTGAGGTCTGAGCTGAGGTCAGACCCCACAGCCAAGACCCCGCTGAGTCCCCATGATCCTGCTGTTGTCCCTGGAAAGCTGAGCCCCCTGAGGATCCCTGTCTGCTGACCGTTGTCTGCTGACCGTTTTGTCCCTGGAAAGCTGTCCCTGTCTGCTGACTTTGTCCCTGGAAAGCTGAGCCCCACGAGGATCTCTGTCTGCTGACCGCTTTGTCCCTGGAAAGCTACCCCCTATCTGCTGATTGAGTGTCCCTGGAAGCCACCTGCTGCTGAGTGTCTGCAAGCCACCTACCGTGAGTGCCCAGATTACCCTTGCCTGTACTGCCCCATTGAGTGCCCGGATTAGTGCCTGAACGATTATTATACTTGCACGGACTGCCTATTACGTGTCTGGAGTATCGTAGCTACCTGGACTGCCCCCATGAGTGCTTGGGCCATCGCTACCTAGATTGCCCTATCGTGGGCCAGATTACAATTATTTTGGGCTCCTCCCCTCTCTTCCCCCCTTTTTGGGTACCTGGATGCTACCTTACTACCCTGATTGAGTGCCTTCCATAGTTCAATAAAGCTTTGTGTGTTTACCATCTTCTTTGTGTGTTCTGTCCTGCCTACGCTTCCGTCACAGTATATATGTATGACTTTATTTATTTTTATTTATTTATTATTCATAATTTTATTTTATTAACACTGTCATGGAGTGCCAGTGCCTTTCCCATCCCCCGCCATATCCCTCCACCCCTCCCTTCCCCATTGCACATTCAGATATCCGTGTAGCTTCCATGAACAAGGCTGGGCCGGCCGTTGCCGAGGCAACCTAGCAGCGTCCCACATGGCTTTTAAAAGACTGGCACAGGAAGCAGCCCTCTCTCTTTGTTCCTGTCCAAGCTGCTGGAATCATCTTGCTCCCAGAAAGACGCTAGGAGGCTCGGGTGGGGGGGACCGAGCCTCCCCAGCCATCCCCGCTGTGCACTCTGCAGACCCCCGAAAGGTCAGGACTGTAGCCCTCTGAAATATCCCAGGGTTGTGAGTACCCGCTGCCCTCCGCTGAATGTCCCAGGGTGGGAGTCTCCGCAGCTCTGCATGAGCCCCTCCGCAAGGGTCAGAACCCATAGCTCAGACCCTGCCAACCTGTCTACTGAGCACCCCTGCACCCTGTCTGCTGCTGAGTGCCCTGAGAGCTGCTGCTGAGGGACCCCGCACGTTGTCTGTGGCTGCGCGTCCCTGGAAGCTGTCTGCTGATCGCTGGTCGTCCCTGGAATGCTGACCGCTGGTCGTCCCTGTCTGGAGCCGCCTGCCGCTGAGGGTCTGCAAGCCACTTACCGAGAACTGTCCTTGTGGTGCGCACAGATTACCTGTGTCCTGAACTGTCCCTGTTGTGCGCACAGACTACCCGTGTCCTGAACTGTCCCTGTTGTGCGCACAGACCCCCCCGTGTCCTGAACTGTCCCTGTTGTGTGCACCGACCACCCGTGTTTTGAACTGTCCCTGTTGTGTTCACTGATCACCCGTGTTCTAAACTGTCCCTGCTGTGTGCACCGACCACCCGTGTTTTGAACTGTCCCTGCTGTGTGCACCGACCACCCGTGTCCTGAGCTGTCCCTGTTATTCACACAGACCACCTGGGTTATGAACTGCCCTACTACACACCTAGACTACCCTTACTTGAACCGCCCCATGGTGTGCCCGGAGTATAGCTACCTGTGATGCCCCTGAGTGCTTGAGCCATCGCTACCCATTGAGTCCCCGTGAACCCGATGTCCCTAGAAAGCTGGTGGGAGCTGTGCTAGGCCAGACTCCACAGCTAGAGTCCCGCTGAGTCCCCGAGACCCCTGCCCAGGGGTAGGTTGCCCGCCTGTTGCCCGAGTCTCCAATCCGCTGTCCAGTCACGGAGGGAGCTCGGCTGAGGCGGGACCCTCTCATGACCAGACTCTGCCTGGGACCCCCCCAAGCCTAGGGGGGAGATTGCCTGCCTGTTGCCCGAGACCCCTGCCCAGGGGTAGGTTGTCCGCCTGTTACACGAGACTCCAATCCGCTGTGCAGTCACGGAGGGCGCTCGGCTGAGGCCCCAAGCCTAGGGGGGAGATCGCCTGCCTGCTGTCCGAGACCCCAGTCCAGGGGTGGGTTGCCTGCCTGTCGCCGAAGACCCCCCGTGCCTGGAATCGTCCCTAGTTTGTGCACACATCACCCTCCCTGCCATTTCCCCATTAAGTGTCTGTCATTTTGTTGTTTCAGTAAAGCTTTGTGTGTTCCCCATCTTCTCCATGTGCTCTGTCCTGCCTACGCTTCCGTCACAAACGCTATTAAAAAACAAATACTTGTCCTCCTATTAATGTTCTAAAAAACTCTAAATACATCTTGGTGAATGAACTAATGTGGATAATAAAAAGGAAAGAGACACAGGAATGTATACTCATAAGAAACGACAGATGGCATAGCTGTGCTGAGTGAAATGAAAGTGAAAGAAACTTCTGGTACTGATAAAAACAAACGCCTCTCTGCCACAGCTTGGTGTTAGGTCTTTGTTTGTCCTGCGGCTGGAATATGACATTTGGATTGGATGTTTTGATGTCACATACTGTTGGCGTAGTCTGGATTTAACTCACTTATTATAACAAGTTATTTATAATATCTTCTTGGATAAAGAGAAACCACAGAACTCGCTGCGGACTGTATTGTTCTCATCTAGGACCAGAAGAGACTCAGATTATAGAAAGAGCTGACAAGAAGACAACGCTGGAACTGGGTGGTTAGCTGAGAGCACATCAGGTACTCCACCATCCCATCTCTGAGAATTATGGATAGTTCACCAGATACAGAAGAGTCTAAGGAATCCACAGAGGCAGCAACAACCCAGGACATGGAAGAACCATCCGGGAGACAGATAGTTGAAAGATCAGAACATACAGGTGAGCCTGGAGAAGTCATAGTCATTCCAGAGAAGCTGAAACAACCAAAGACAACAACTCAGAGCATAGAAGAGCCATCCGGGAGACAGATAGTTGGAAGATCAGAAGATACAGATGAGTCTGAAGAATTCATATTCATTACAGAGATTCCAGAACAACCAGAGACAACAACAACTCAGGACAAGGCAGAACTATCTGAGATATCATCTGAAACGAGCGAGGACACACAGTCATTAGGCGCACAGACGAATGGGCAGGGCAGTCTGTCCCCCTGAACAGGGGACATTCCTTTAGTAAATATACTAAAGTAAACTCCACAGCAGCTTACTCACCCCTAATACCTCTTATTGTGTATGTAAACCCAAACAATTCATTTCTCTAAGGCCTCGTACACACAGATGCTTACTAGCTGCTGTGTCCTCAAGTGTAAAACGCCTGTTATTTTCCCATATGCGGGGAGCCACACGTATGTAGCACTACCCCCACAGGAGCCACTGGTATTTTGGGCTTACTTCCCCATCCTCACAGCATGCACAGCCATTCACACTGCATTTTCGTCATTTTTCCACTGGCTCAAGAATCAGTCTAGGGTTTCTTTTTAGAATTTTTACATACTCTGGTATTTTTAGTCAACATACCTGTGATGGGAGTGACTTTGGGTGGAAGGCCCATGGAACACAGCCCCCTTTTGTCTCAGCTCCCCATATCCCTATTATGTGTAAGTCATCCTGTGCCTGTTAGGGGTACAGGGTGAAATATCCTGATATTGTGTAGACATGTATAGGTGGGGTGTGGGGGTTGTTCATTGTTTACTGCCACGTGGTCCCATTGTTCTATTGTGTCCTGCTTGCAAGCAAACTATTATGGGATGCATGTGTATTGGCTTGGTGGGAGGTGCCTGCTGTGCATATCTTGTTACTAAATGTATTGCCCCGCCCTGTGTATATATCTTGTATCTATGTTAAAATAAAGCAGTCTATTTCCTGTCTTTCATACAAGTCTGGTGCTGTCTTGTCTTGTATGGCCAGCAGTGGTGTCCGTGGATCTGTGTTTGGACAGAGAAGCGGGAGTCTAATGGAAATACCCTAGTGTGGTCAGGGTCCGGTTCCGTTACATTGGTGGCAAGCGGTGGGATTGAGCTTCTAAGCTGTGAACATGTCCAAACCACCACTGGGATTCAAGATCAGGAAAGGAGACGTCGGTCACCCCAGTGGAGATATGGACCTGGCATCAGAGTTCCCAGGGCTGCTGCAGACTGTTCTTGCAACATACCCCGGGACTGTGTCTACGGATCAGTACCTGGAGCTCAGGCAGCGGATTTTGGAGGTGCTTTGGAGAGGAGCCCTCCAGGTTGCTGGTATGGACAAGGGCAAGTGCTATCCAACCCCAGAGGAATGGGCCAGGGACCATCGGAAGTTATGGATGCCATTCCTGGGAGAGTGACCCCAGGAGCAATGGGTGACTGAGTTGGACAGGCTGGTCCAGCAGGAGATAGAGCTGAACAACAGATATTGGGCTCTGCAATGGTAGACAGAGCAGGAATATTTAGGGGTGTCAACAGAGTGTTCTCCAGAGGGATATGACTTTGGTGGACCTGGATTGCTGTGGGAGAGCCTTACAGATCATTTTGTATTTGGCGATGAAGAAGAACCTACCCTGGAGGAGTTGCAAGAAGACAGAGAGGCTATGTTCAGTCTCACTGGGGTCTCAGAGCTTGAACCAGATCTGAAATACCTGCTGAAGAAAGAACTGCATCTAGAAAGGGCATACAAGCAACTGCTAAAACATGTTCTGCAGCATGCCCAAGAATCGGCAGTTGAAATTCTAGAGACTGGGGATTTGATAGACTTCTCTGCTGAGGAAAAACAACCTAGTAAGCCTCAAGCAGAAGAGCTGGCAACAGGGCCAAACATTACTGAACTCTGCCCAGCACTAGTAACATCTTCTGAGTTCTACGGACAGGAGATGGTGAACCCCTATCCCCAGACACAAGTTCCAGAGACTGGGGATTTGTTTGACTTTTCTACTGAGGAGGAACCAGCCGGTGTGCCTCCAGCAGAAGAGCTGGCATCAGGGTATGGTGTGGTTGACCTCTGCCCACAAGAATCAGCACCGCAGGAGCTACAGGAGGAGGATGCAATCGGCACCTCGCAACTGCAGCTTGAGCTGATGTCCGTGGATGGGACTTCGGTCTCCATTGACACAACCCCAGAAAAGGGTCTGGCATTGGGACAAGAGGATGTCAGACTTACTTTGCAAACACTGGGGGATGTCCATCAAGTCAAAGTAGATGAAACTACAGTCACCACTTGGATACCCCAGGGATGCTGGGCAGTCGGCCCAGATCCCCAGCAGCATGATGGAGTTGGCCCAGCCACCCTGTCTTCTCCCCAACGCGCTGAGAGGACTTCAGGGAGAAGGACCAGTCCGTACTTCTCCCCAGCGGTGGGTATGTTCTCCGAGAGAGGCAGAGGTTGGCTGGGTGAGTAATGCTTTGTGTGGGACAATTTGTTTGGGGTACTGTGTGGGTGCTGGCATTGGGGGACTGGAAGTACAGACTAACTTTGGAGTCTATCCGTCTGGGATTTACTCCTGTGTTAGTCTCCTGCCGAAAGGGGAGATATGTGATGGGAGTGACTTTTGGGAGTGGGGAGACCCCTGTCTCAGCTCCCCATATCCCTATTATGTGTAAGTCACCCTGTGCCTGTTAGGGGTACAGGGTGGAATGTTCTAATATTGGTGTGGGGGTTGTTCATTGTTCACTGCCACATGGTGCATCCCATTGTTCTATTGTGTGTCTTGCTTGGGACAAACTATTATGGGATGTAATGTTTCTGGCAGCCCTTCCCCCTGATGGGATGGCCTGCTGATGTGTTACCTGTCTGGGTGTGTATTTCCCTGCCCTGTGTATATATCTTGTATCTATGTTGTATTAAAACAGGAAATAGACTGCTTTATTTTAAGTCTGGTGCTGTCTCATCTTGTATGGTCAGCAGTGGTGTCGTGGATCTGTGTTCGGACAGGGAAGCTGGAGTATAATGGAATGAAGTCTTCTCCCTGCTGTGTCCCCATAGTGTAACAGGTGTCTCCAGCCACATGAACAACCCCCTCATTCATGCTGTACAGGCCAGAGGACTTATGTGAATGGGGCATTTTTTACTTTTTTTTTTCCTCAGCTCATTAATTTCAATGGGCTGCCTAATGTGTGGGAACATGCAAAAATACTGCAGGCATATTATTTTAAAAGTGTGTTGCACCTAACCGCACAGTAGTAATGTGGTGCCATGCGTTTTGGTGGCTGTGAATGCGTCTGTGTTCACTAGACGTGTGGAGGTGCAATTAAGTTTTCATCATGGTACCTGCGCACATCTGCAGAGGGCATTGCATTTCTTTGCTGTGCAGGAAAAAAATGTGCTATTGCATGCGTTTCTGCACCACCAATCATGTGAACAAGTCCTAAGAGCCAGTTCACACTATAGAAACAGTCTAGATGTGTCCCAGATGCGTTTTTGCATGCACTTTTTTGATGCATGTTTAGTGTGTTCCCTAGCATTTTGGATGCGTTTTTGATGTGTTCCTCTGCATTTTTTTTTATGCATTATAGTTAATTTTTTTCCTTCTCTTTTTCTTCAATTTAATTAGGGACATGTGCGTTTTAGTGCGTTCCAGTGCGTTTTACCGCGTTCCAGTACAGTTCTATGCATAAACAATGCAGCCTGTTCAAATTTTTTGGCAGCACCTGCAACGCACTGGAACTGCAAGCGCTGATGTGAACTATGACATTGACAACCATATAACCTTCTTTCTGTGCGTTTTGTGATGCCGAAAAAACAACTGAAACACATGTAGTGTGAACTGGCCCTAAAGGTTATTATAG